GGGGAAAAACACACCTCAGCCAACACTGTTCTGATGTCCGGAAGCCACACAATGGGACGCTCTGAGCGGGGGACGGAAAAATGTCCTGTTTCCGGTGACAGGTCCAAGAATCATGAGTAGGTGTGAGAAACAAGGACACTTATAGATTTAGAAAAGAAAGAGAGAAGAGAAGGGGGGGGGAGGAAGGAGCCAGGGAAGGGGGAGCGCGATCGCTCAGAGACACCATGGCAACGAGTCCGTCCACCTACCCCGGCCGCCCACCCACAGCCAGATTCTCTGCTGACGCACTTGAGAACAAGCTGGTTCCTACCAGCTCAGGAAGGTGAGCAAACCCAGAGCTCATTAAACCCCTTCTCAGCGACTCTTGTCTGCCTGCAGACAGTGAGCGAGGAGATATAAATAGAAGTTACATAACAGCTCTTTGTTGATTCCTGTGCTTACCCCAAAATGCGGCATGACCTTGTTTTTTTCTGAGGCGTTCTCTTCGGCGGGCTGCTGGGGGCCTTTAATCTAGGTGGGGATTGTCTTAAAGTTTAAACCGCGGGATACAGATTTCCAAGTGAAGGGCAGGTGCTCAGGTATCGTCCAAGTTCGGAATGCTTGGGGTCAAGGCCTCCTCAGGTATAAGAAGTGTCCACTCTCTTGCCACAAAACAGAATCTTAAGGAATCTTGGGGCTGCCACTTAGAACACTTCCTGGTGAGGCCGGGGTTCACATGACCCCCACTGCAACCCTCCCAGAGCAAGACCCAGGAATGAAATGGCTTCTTGGGTTTTCGCAGGGGGTCAGAATGTGCACACTTAAAGCTAACTGATGCTTTCTCAATACCTCCAGGCGTAATCAGCTGTCTTTTTCTTTTGTGACAAGCAAGACAGCGGGAGTCCAGTGGGTTGCCAGGGCCTCCCCCGGACACGCTGACATGGCCTAGGCGGTGTCCCGACATCAGCCCAAGCTCACCTGAGCCCCCGCACCGGCCGGGGCTTCTGAGCAGACCCTGGCTTCGGCGTCTTCGCCGGAAGGCGGTTTCAGAGGAGCGTGTGCTTACGGGGCTCGCTGCGGAGCCCTGTTCCCCTGCTGTCTCGTCTAACCTGTCGATGCCACAAAACTCTGAGCAACTGTTGCCATGGGAACTTCCCCTCCCAAGCATCGTTCAAGAAGTGTTACAGGTGCTGGAGAGCCGCCGCCCTGGTCTCAGTAACCTTTTTCACTCCCCAGAACCTCAGAACGTGTTGCTTCAACTGACAGGACTTTCGAGTCTCTGATGCAAGGGCTGTAAATGCAGACGCCTCTCAGGGACAGCGGTCAATCCCGCAGGACACGGGGGAGTGCTCTGATGGCCTGAGGGTGTGCGGGCCCCACGCAGCGTTCAAGTTCTTTCCCCAGTGGCTTCAATACATCACTGCGGCCGAGCCGGGGGCCGGGCGGGTGTAATAGCTCTGAGGGCGACCCCAGCACGAGGCTGTGACTGTGGTCCACTCGGTGGGGTGTCCTCTCTCAGCGGAACTGGAGGGTGGTCAACAAGACCATAACGCAGAGATCCAGGCGGGAGAAAAGTCCACCTCCGCTGCCGAGTCCCCCCGTCCCCGGCTGGTCACTGAGGTACGTGGGCCATCTCTCAGCTACGCCCCGTGAGCCTGTGCCCAACCCCCTTCCAAGTCCCCGGGAGGAAAACAGGCCCTACCTTCTACAGTCTGAACAGCGTGGATCCGCTGGGAACCCATACGTCTCCACGTCCCGAAGCAGCAACGTTGCCAGGTAACAAATGTGGAAATATACTCAGAAAACTGTCTGTGACAATATACAACCTCCGCTCTGCAGCTGATAACCGAGGGAGTGTTAAAACACCATGTTCCCTTAACACCCGGGCCCCGGGTGTGAAAATAAAATTAAACGGGATACTTCCTCTTGTAAACAGAAGACAGGCATACAACTCACACACGCACCCACTAATTGGAAATAGTACAGGGGTTTGTGAGAGCCATCTGCAGTGCGCCCTATCATTTACTGGCCCCAGCCCCGCACGCAACCTCCGGAAAACTCAAAGAAACACGACTGAGCAGGAGGCGTCTGTCAGGGGCGAGTTCACCTCTGCCCAGAGAAAGCTGCTCATAAAAAGAACCCAGTGGAAACGGAAGAAAAACTCGTATATTATATAAAACTGAATTTGCTTCCATTGTGCGGCTCACACTTCGACTTTAGAAATCCACTGGATAACCACACAGTGATCACTTGCTTCTCAAATCGGGCGACCAGTGCGTCCCGCCCCGCACCTAACAGCAGTGAGACAGATGCTGAGCTCCGCACGCAGGGCGCCAGATGGAGGCGGCTCTGAGCAGCCCCGCCCCAGGTCCATGAACCGAGAGGCTGCCCAGCACGGTGGAAAGTCGAGAGATTCTTGAGTTCAAATCCCAGCTCTGCTAACTGGGAGAGTTTGGATAAGACCCCCGGCTCTTCTGAGACTCAGTTCCCTCCTCTGTAATCAGAGCTAGCCCACCTTGCCCGGATAAAGTACGTCACAGCGCCCAGCACAATGCCTGCCCCAGGAAAGTCACGTTATAAAGGCAAAAAGACCCTTCCTCGTCCTTCCCCAAACGTGAATAGTCTCCAACCAGCCAAAGACGTGAATGTGGGGACAATCCAGCCCATTTCGCTGCTTTGTGCAAAACGGGCAGAAGCTGAGCTCTAACGAGCCTCAATTATGCCTTCGGATACAAGCAAGAAGCCAAATCGTCAGTAACGTCATCGGACTTTTCGCAAGAGCCCTCACTCAGCGAGCTGCCCTCTGTCTCCACGGAGAGGAAGTTACATGAGAGTTTCCTTGTCACTGATTTTCATAGACCTGGGAGCCTGGAGCTTGCTGGAAGGGAAGCAGCATGTATGGCACGTAGAATTTTTACTTGGCAAAGCAGACACCCAGCCTATAGGAAGTCATTCACAGGCCGATATTATAACCGGAGCACAGACCGGCCGCACGAGCTGTCTCGGAATGTGTCCAGCAGGCAGAGCCCAGCGACAAAAAGAACCACCAAGGGCAATGCCATCAACTCTGATCTTCTAAATTGAAGGGGGTACCCGGCCCCTTTCCTCGGACCCCAGAAAGGGGGTCGTGGGCCTCGTCTGTGCCAGCGAAGCCCTCCCCGCCACAGGCAGGCAGCACGACAGAGAAGCCAGGGACTCAGGCGGGAGCAGGAAACACACCCGGATGCGACTACCCGCCAGCTCTGTGACCCTGAGCAAGCCACTTGACCTCTCAGATCCTCTATTCTCTTCTCAGAAAAAGCGGCCGCGGCGGCACCTGCCCACACGGCGTCGCCATGCAGAGTGAGCGAGGCCGAGCGCAGGAGGCACCTGGCCCATGAGCACAGGCTCAGGCGCTCGTTCCTCCTATTCGATGTGGGTATTCCTCAGAGGAAAAGAGAGCAGAGCCATCGAGCAGGCTTTTCCAAAGTGACATCGTGTATTTCCCTCGGGTTCCGATGAACTTCGCTCCCCTGCACACATAAAGAAGGCGTCCCTTCAAAATGGTAATGACCACCAACACATCTTCACATTTCACGTCCTCGTGCTTATACTCAGAAAGGGCTAGGAGGGAGGTACTCAAAGAACAGGGTGGCCAGGGAGGGTCGAGAGTCGGATTCACTCAGCGGACATCTGCTGAGCGCCCACTGTGGTCCAGGTGCTGGGGAGTGAGAGGCTTGACCCGGGAAGAAATGACTCACGGGCGGGGCGGCGTGGGGGAGAGACATGCAAGCCAAGCGCACCCATGGCTACTGCACCCGCTCTCCACGCATTATCTCCCTGAGTTCCCGGACCAGCCCGACAGAGCGGGGCCCTCTCCGCGCGCCCATCACGTGCAGAGGAATTCCCTTCACGCGTCGCACTAACGACTTCTCTAGAAAACTCAGGGGGAGGACAGACTTGGTCTCTGTTCCCTTGGGCCTTACAATGACCCTCCGTTTACAGTGTGAGGGCTGTGACGGTAAATGAACTCCCCGGAGACAGAGACCACCGGATGCATCTCAAGACAGGACCTCTGCCTCAGGGGACCAAGAGGAAGTTTTCAGGGTAGGGGACATTTCAAACAGCGCTCGGGGAGCGTGCCAGGCCGAGGGAGAGAGGGCACGTCCCACGGGAGCGGGGGCATCTGAGTACACGCCCAGGGCCCGGGGCCCGTGCGGTGCAGCTGCGGGGTGTGAGTGCAGAGAGCCAGGCGGGGCCCGATCACGCAGGGCGCCAGGGCACGTCCTCGGCGGGGCAGTGGCGTCCGCCCTCTGCGGAAGGAAGGCTAAGCCGGGGGATGAGGTGATCAGCCTTCCCTTTAGGAGACGTCGCTGGCAGGGGCGTGGAGGAGAGCAGCGCGGGGCTGAGAGGCTATTTCGGCCACCCGGAGGGAAGGCACTCAGTCTCCGGACTCCGACAACCCCGTCTCGGCAGGCGGTGCCAAGCCCAGCTCCTCCAGCCCCGGCCGGGCCACCTGAGGCGCGTCATTTAACCTCAGAGTGCCAACCGTCCGGCTCACTATCAACCCTAACTGGATGCCGAGGGTCGAGTGGGCACAGAACGAGGTCCTGATGAACAGCCAGAGGGCGACCGACGGCATCACGGTTTGGAGCCTGGGTGCCTGGAGGGGAGCACTGACCGAGCTATGGAATCCGAGAGGGCAAGTGCGGGGGAGGGGCGCTGACGGACGTGCGGGGTCGCACTGAGTCAGCACAGCTGGAGAGTCCCGGGGATGTGCACAGAAATCTGGGAATCAGCAGAGGCGGAGCCGGGAGCTCTACCCTCGGGAGCTGTTGACATAAACGGCAGCTGAATGCCACGGGGGTGGGTGACATCACCCAGGGAGTCTGGAGAAAAAGGAGACAAACAGGCTCGAGACCCGGCTTCGGCGTTTCAGATATTTTAGGCTTAACTGTCAAACGCTGCCAGGAAGCCCTGTGTTTGCCCCCAGGAAAACCTCGGCAGGAGGTGGCATCGGGCCATCAGGAAGTGACTTGAAGCATGCTCTGGGGCGGGACGGTCCAAAAGCCCTGACCGATGGAAACTCTGCCGTCGCTCAGGGGTCTGGGCTCTCGAGCTGCCCAGACAGGTCTCCCAGGGAATGAGTGGCCTTCTCTGCCTCCTCAAGCTGAGCCGAAAGGGGGCGGGGGGAGGGGGGATGTAATACGTCCTGGTGAAGACCTATCGCTACACCGGTGAAGAACATGGGGCAAACGGGAGAGGCTGCTCGCTGCTCCTTGAGCAGGCTGACAGCTGACAGCAGAGACCGCGCACACACGGGCCGGCGACGGCTGTCTGCAAAGGGCCGGACAGAAAATAAATACTTTAGGCTTTGTGGGCGACTCGCTCTCTAAACCCTTGTCACACGAGGGCAGCCACGAGGGTGCTACAGGAATCAGCGTGGCAGCGTGCCAATAAAACTTTATTTACCAAAGCAGGAGGCCGGCTGGACCGGAAACGTCAGCCACCGGGTGCCAAGCCTGCACTGACACCACACGCCAGCCGGGAGGGGTCTGCTGTTGGCTCGGAGGCAGGAAGGGACCTTCCCTGCCCGGAAGTCGTCACCGAAAAGCGAGGAGAACACGGACATCCTGAAGGTCTGCAGGAAACGGGGAGAGAGACGAAAGGACGGGAGAGAAAGACGCAAGACCCGGACTTGCCGCGGCCTTCACGGGACAGAGGGAGCTCACGCTCGACCGGCACCGCCTTCCCCGCTTCCTCCGACAGTTTTCCTGCTGTTTAATCCAACTTTCCAGACGACGACTTTTAGAAGCTAATTCCTGCATTTGAGTTTTGCAGGAAGAAAAGAGATTTACATGCTTCCAGAAAGTTCCCCGCCCAGCCGGGCAGCCCAGTAACGGAGGACTGAAGAGCGGACACCCGGGACTGGCCGCTTCTGCCTCAACGCTGGCTCGGCCGCTCGGCAAACGGCAGAGCCGACCTCGGTCCTCCGACTCCCCAAAGGCACGAGCGGGGCGCACACGCTCCCCTCGGGCCACCTCCTCGAGACTGTGCAGACAGCCCGTGCACGGACTCCTTGCCCCGACGTGGGGACCCGAGCGCCCGCTGGCCCACGCATGACCGAGTGTCAGCCGCCACGTGGAGAGTGGCAGCAATGACAACCAGGAAGGAGCTGTGGGGCCTGGCATTGTCCTTCTCAGGGGAGCTCATCCAGGCCCCGTAGTCCCAAGGATGGGAATACGTCTGAGCTTTGAGTTTCCGCCTCAAGATCTGGGTTTAGAGCAGTCGTCCCGACAGACTGCTCTATGACGTGCCGTTTCCTGGGGTTGGAGAGGAAAGATGAGGTGCACACGGCCAAGGAATTATATGAACCAAAAAAGAGAAAGAGGGAAGGAAAGGAGGAGGCGTGGGTCAGGGAGCACGTCACGCCACACCACAGGGACTGGACGGCCCTTCCGCTCTGCCCAGGACGCCCGTCAGGGTCGGGAACCGCACCCAAGGCGCGGGGGGCCCCAACCTCTGGACCTCGGAAGTCATTTCACGGGGACTCAGGTGGGTCGTGTGTGAAAACAATGCAAGACAGGGCACTGGTCCCCCGCCCTGGGCCACTGGGTCATAAACCGCTACACAGAGGCAAAACATAAGAGGTCAGATTTCTGATGGAAGACACATTAACGAAAACGAAGCATATTTTTAAATAAAAATTTGACTAATGAAAACCGCCACGTCTCAAGAGCTTTCCAGGACCCGACGCCGTGTGAAGCGCCGCCTGTGAGCCGCCCCGTCTCTGAGAGGCGGGTGCCCGGCCAGGAGCCGGGCTGAGAGGCAGAGGAGGCAGGGCTCGGACAGGGGGCCACCCCCGCGGGCCGACCACCCTCGTCTCACGGATGGGAACACTGAGATGCGCTGTATCCTGAGGAAGTCCAAGGTCACCGGCTGGAGGGGGGGTGGGGCAGAGCTGGATTCCGACCAGCTGCTTCCACGCCGGAGGCCGTGCCGCTTCCCAGGCCCCCAACTTCTCTTGGAGGCGGCGTCCCCCACATCCCTGACCCCATGCCACTGACTCTCAGAGAACGGCCAGTGGGCAGGGCCTACACTCCTTGAACTCAGCTGGGCAGCTGTGCTGGGCAGAGCCCTCGGCCTTGCTGAGGGGCACAGTCTCCACCAGGGCAGTCTGCTGGGGCCAGGCCGCCTGCTCCGACACGTTCATGGCGACGGCTCCGACACCCCCCACACCGGGAGAAGGCGTCCCTCTGCCCCCACTGCTGGCCACACGCTCCCACACGGATGAAACCCGAGGTCGGAAATCACCACGCACCAGTGACTCACTTCTGACCGCCCTGCCAAGATCGACACCAGCCTTCCCTCCTCCGTGGGGTGACCGCCCCGGCAAGTTGAGGCGGACCTTCCTCGCCAGCTGGCGCCCCGCTTCCAGCCGAGGGAAAGCACGTCACCCTGACTGCTGGCTCACGGGGTCAGAGGCAGCCAGGTGACCCTCGCTCTCGCGGTGACTCCTGGGAGGGGCGGCAGAGTCCACATCTCATGCTGGCTCCTGGGCTGAGGTCTCAAGACCACCTCAGAAACCACATGCATGGAGAGGGAAGGGCCCCAGAACCAGAGATGTCATGTCGCTCCTGAACCTGCAGGCCAAGTTTCCTAACGGCACGTGTCACATTTTCCGACCCTAGCAGCGTACGTGCAGCAGAGAAGGCCCCTCCTGGGTGTGTCTGCGGGCGAGACGGGGCAAGGGAGCACACGTGGGCCGCCGTCGGATACAAACGTTCAAACATTCTCCGCGCTTCTGCTGCCGGAAGCAATTAGTCCTCCATTTTTTTTTTTTTTTAGATCTAGTCTCCCGAATTCTCTGTGAGGTCCTGTACAGCCCTCCCAGCAGCCGATCCCTAAACATCTGCATTTGCTTAAGAAAACCTGAACATTCAAACTTGACTCCTCCTCGTCCCCAGGTGGGGACAGCTCTGTCCCCTGCAGGGAAGAGGGAGGGAACGTCCCCCGGGGCTGGTGGGAACATCTCAGGAAGAAGGAACACAGAAGTTGGCAAGGACTCCGGGACGGATATGGAGTGCCGGGAGGCTTGCTGAGCCCTGTGTGTGCCAAAAATTAATTCATAAGCAAATGCTTATTTTATAGTTTCCCACTTGCTACAAAACATCAAGCAGAGAGGAAAGATTTCTTCTGGGGGCTGGCAGGAAGGGGGTGGCACCAGAATGGGGAGAAAGTCGGCAGGAGTTACTCTTTAAGAGGAGCTTGGTCCCCTGGCTCAGTGGTGTCACCCACACTTGGGGAACCCACGGGCAGTGGTGGGGCCACCTCCTGTTCCTAGAGGCAGAGGGTTCGCCATCGAGTCTGAGCCGCTTGGGGGGCGCCCGGGTGGGAGAAGTTCGGGGGCGATATCCATCCTCGGATGCTACCATCATCAGAGAAGCCAGGGCAGGGGAGAAGGTGCTGGGGGACTCAGGGACACCGTCCCTAGGAGTCCCTTATGCCACCCCGGAAAACATCCCAAATCCTGCTTCTGGGCACTTCAGGGCTTTAGGTGATGATGGGATGGATTACAAGATGCCAGGATATGGGAGCAAGCTCTGCGTGACGGTGCCTGGCGAGCCTGGGTGGCTTATTTTGGGTGCCCATACACTGGGTCCTTAAAGGTCTGGGCAATGAAGGTCAGAACTTCTGAAGAACCACAGCCGCCAGCGACCTCATGCTCAGGATGGGGCTGGATTTTCACATACCATCCGAAAGGGGAAGGACATGTCGAAACTTCTGCCGTGACGGGGCTGGACCTCAAGGAGAACCGAGCACCCCCACGGCAGAGACAGCGGTGCCTCTGCTTTGCAGCTGTGACACCCACCTCGGGGGCTTGACTCACCCGTGGTAGGTGCTCAGTCGGTTATAAGGGGTGTGGGGGAGCCAGTCTCCGAAGATGGCCCCCCGATGCCCTCGCTCTCCTCACATACCCATCCCCTTCTCACAAAGGGCTGGGGTTCGCCTCCCCTCCCTCTGAAGCGGGGCTGGCCTCGCGACCGGCTCTGACCCACAGAACGTGCCAGATGGGCTGTGCTAGGACGTCCAAGCCCAGGACTGGAAAGGGTGGGCAGCTTCCACTCCTGCTTCTCAAAACGTCACTTCTTGGATTCCGGCCACCATGCTCGAAGACACCCAAACCACAGGGAGAAGCCACATGGAGGAGAACCAAGACAACAGCCCTGGCTCAGCTCGCGGCTGACGGCCAGCACCGAGGGTCACAGCCATACGAGCGGCCATCCCGGCCACTCCGGCCCAATTGTGCCCCGTGACCGTAGCCCCAGCGAAGGTCACACAGAGCAGGAGAACCACACCGAGCTCACACCCCCAGGGATGTGACGGGGACCAGGAGAGCCGCCGCCCTAAGCCATCACGCTCTCGGATGGTTGGGTTTGGGGGAGGACGGGACAGAGGCACGCGACATGTAGCACGGGCTCCGTCTAGCTCTGTAGCCCCGAGAAAATCATCGCCCTCATGGAGCTCCCGCTTCCTCGTCTGGGACAGGGTAACGTGCCTGTCACGCCTCACGGCGCAGCTGGAAGACCCAGATCCGAGAGCTGGAGAGACAGGACCGCAAACAAGAGGTCTGGAAGTTTCTCTTCTCCACTGACCTCTGGGGCCACGATCCCAGCCCCGCCCACGGACACCTCTGCCTTTGCACACGACAGGGGTGACCGTGTAAGGACAGAGCCATCTTGCCCTCCGGGCACCTGTCTGCTTCCTCAGATCTGCACGGTCGTCCTGAAGAGCAAAGCCATTGCAGGCGGGGAGGCCGCGCCGTCGCGGATCCCGGGCCTCCAACTTGCCGCTTCGTGACTGGGGGACAAGCTCCCTCACTGCTGTGTGTTTCGGCTCCCTCATCTATAAAAAGGGGGGATCGTGGCACCTACCTCATGGGGAGACTGGGGGGCTTAAATGGGATGGAGCGTGAGGAGCACTTCCCCAAGTTCCTGGCCCACGGGAAGCACTTCATAAGTGCTGACTGTCACGGTCACCGTTGTGGTTTTTACTGTAGTTGTTTAAATGATCATACAGTAAAATTGACTTTTTTTGGTGTCCTGTCCTACGGATTTTCACATATGTATGGACTAGTGCGGCCGCCACCAAAAGCAGACACATCAAAGCGTCATCACCCAGAAAACTCCTTTGTGCTCTTCCTTGATAGCCAAATTCTCCCCTCATCCCTCCTCTGGCAAACGGGGACCTGCTCTCCAGCTCCGCAGTCTCGTCCCTGTGAGAACGTCACGAAGGTAGAGCCATATGGGGTGTCACCTTTGGAGACCGGCTTCTCTCGCTCGGCGTAAGGCCTTCGAGGGGGACCCCGGTTACGGCATTTCCCAAGAGTTCACCCCTTTCACTGCTGTGTAGTGTTCGGCTGTCTGGATGCACCATCATCTGTCCAATCCCCATATTCTAAATGATGATGTTTGGAAACCAGGGAAGACTTTCAGACATGGAACCCGCCAGTCATCACTACTGGGTTCTAAGAACTCCTGGGAAAAGATCTAATAATTGCTTAAAAAAAAAAAAATCCTGATTCAAAGCTGCAAGGACCCCAGAAGCCTGCGCTTCCGTCTCGGCCTGGACAGACAGAGGAACAGAAACCCAGGCTGGGTTCCCTCATCCCACACAAAGCCGGACTGACAGGCGGGCCTCCTCCCCCGCACCCTGCTCTCCGTGAGAAGCCCGTGCCAGGCCCCAGGGCTGCGGGGGTGACAAACGCCGGCCTGAAAACGTTACCACGCTGGAAGCGCGCAGCCCCGCACGCTCCCCGTGACTGCTCTTCCTGCCGCCTGCCACTGAGAGGCGTGAGTCTCGGGAAGCCATCTGACCGGTTTCCCTCCCTGAGACTGTGGCACGTCACATGGAACAGGAAGTGACCACGGGCAGAGGGTCCCAGCTGGAGCCTGCCCCGCCTCGAATGACCACAGCCCTAACTGACCCAGCGCCAGCCAGCTTCCCCGCTGGTCATCTGCTGCTTTGAACCGGCTCCTTCTGGAACTTCCAATCACTCCGCCTTCAGGGTGTCTGTCCCTAAGTGGCCTCAGACAACCCAAGTTCCACACTGTTTTCTCCAGGAAATGAGCTCGGGGCTGAGGGGCTCTCAGAGTCAGCTCCGGGCTGGAATCCGTGTTCCTGGAAGCACGGGTCTCTATCGAGGGGGTGGGCTGGGGTGACCTTCTCCCTTCCAACCCTTGAGTGCACAGAAGGCAGCGGGGAGGGGGTGGGAGGGGGAGGGAGGAGAGAGGGCATGCGAGCCCTCGTGCAGTGTCCCGTGCCCTGTCCTGTACCCCATCCGGGCAGGGCACAAGGCCACCGCGCCCCGCCTCACGGGCTCACGGGCTCACCGGTTCCCTAGGGAGGAACATCCCCCCCACCCCCCGCCCGAGGAAACTGCTGGAGCCCAACTGCGGCATTTCATCTGGAGCCTGAGCATATGAGTAATAAATGTGTGAAAACATGAAACTAATATTCATAATTACTTTACAAGATAAAGAACTTGAAGGAAAAACAGCTTCTGTGTGCCTTGCCATCACCATCAGGGTACACTGTGAAAAACACGGCATGTCGCCAGCCAGCCTCAGCCCGCCGCCCCCGCGAGCCCCCTCCACGCTTCATTATTCCCTAATTAGCGGTGTTTTCATGCGGCTCGTCATCCCGGCTCTCGAAAGCTCTGACAGCCAACGGGGCCTCCGACCTCCTTGTCTCCCGCATCCAGCTCTCAATGGCCGGGGCACCGGCCTCCAGCGGGCAGTGATCTCCACTCCTGGGAGCCTGTGCCTCACCCCCTTACCCTACCACTGGGTTCAGGAGCTCTTCTGCTCCCCACTTTTTTGCGGTATAACTTTGGTGCAGTGAAGCACACTGATTTTAACTGCACGGCTCGCCGATTTTGAAATAGACACATGTCCATGCAACCACCAGCTAGACTAGGATGCAGAATATTCCTGCACCCCGAAAGGCTCCCTGTGCCTCTCCCAGCCAGCCATCCTCTCCAAGTGACGACCAGTTCTGTCATTAGATTCGCTTTGAGCTCGGGTTCTCATTAGCTCTCCCCAGAATTACTGCTAATTAACTTTTTAATGATCGGACTGTCTCCTGCTTTCCTCAGTTTATCTGTCCCACACTGCCAGACTTAGAGCCCTCAAATCACAGCCCAACCCATCCCCTGTCCCCTCTGGCCTCCTCTGCCCGCTCTGCTCACTGCCAAGGGCCCAGCAGGTTTCGGCCCCTCCCCAGGCCCAGCTCTGTGCCCAGCTCCACTTTCCGGGTCCACAACCCTCCTCAAAGCCCATCTCGTCAAAACCACCTTCCACCAGCGCCTCCCACCGATGTCCTACGCCTTCCCCGGCGGGTCCACCGTACTGGTCCCACCTCCTGGAGGCCCCGCCCGCTACCCGTGAGACCTAGCTTCCTGTGTGCTGTGCATGCATTCCTGTATCCTTGCTAGATTTTCGATTTCTTGAGCACTAAGCTTCTGGGATTTCTCAAATTAGTAAAGCTTTAAAAAAAAAAAAAACTAGGGAGGGAAAGGAATAACTTAAGGTTTCCAACTTCTCACGTGGCCAACAGAGGAAAAAGCAAAACAGAACTGTCACCCTCTAGCAACACCGCTTCATTAAAGAAAAGATACTGGAGCTAAAAAAAATCGGAGAGGCTATAATTTCAGAATGAGACGGTCAGACAGCCCTTCACACCGATACAGCTGGTTAATCAAAAGCTCATTCGCTGCCCTCGTTTCTCGCGCTTGGCGATGCTTGGAGAGAATTCTCCAGCGCCCGGTGGTGACCGGCCGAGCTCCGTGCACACAGGAGGAGCTCAGTGAATGCTGACTTCGCTGGTCCAGCCCCTGGGAGTCACGTGGTCCAAAGACAAGGAGCATCTCAGCACTGCTCCCCCCAGCACCGGCACCCCGAGGGAGGAGAAGGGCCGCGGGCCACGCCCCGCTCACAGTCGGGCTCATGCGTGACAGTCAAACATCGGTGCCGACACATGACAACTTGGGTGCCCACGTGACAATCAGGCATGCAGTGAACCCTGCCACGGGCACAAGTCTCGACTAATAACTCCAAGAGTCTGTGCTGGGGCCACTGCCACCAGCCGTGCAGGGTGTGCAAGGCCCAGGCGCCTGGCTGGGAGCGAGCGGGGCTGAAGCCCGGCCTGCGCTCCCCGTGCCCAGCCAATTGCCCAGCCAGGTGCCCTGGCCTGGGGCGCACCTGCCCACCGAGAGACACGCACTGTCCTAATATGCACAAGGGACCAAGACACCATTAGTTTAGACTCCGATTTTAAATTCAAGACCCAGAATATAACGTCAAGCCAAATATACCCATGAGGGTGAATTGTGTCATTTGTAAATCACATCTCAATCAAGCTGTTATCAACACACACACACACACACACACACACACA